CCCCCCCAAAAAACCTGCCAGACCTCAATTTCATTAAACTGAGTAGTTATATAAACGGTAGAGCACATAAGTAAATGATGATTTTCGAGAATATACTCAGTATCCAAAAATCAAGTTATGATATAAGATTATATAAATCGGGAAATAACAATAAATAAGCTGAGCTGAAATGGTGAAATTCAATTCTAGATCAGTTTTAGATTTAATCCAAAACACCAAACAAAAATGAAAAGAGAAAATAATGACGCCAAATGGATAACAGCGAAGAGAGACTGTGATTTGGGAGACTACCTACCACAACGCCGTATAGGGATACCATATAATGAATTCATTAAGTGCAAATCTAAAATTAGTAGTCATTAGGTGTCTGTCAATTGAAGAGATCACTATTGATTTATTAAGTACATTCCTTGACTTGTGGATCAGCTGATTATATACTTCAAGTATATAAATTAAGATTTAAGTGAATTGGGAGTGAAATTGCAATCAATTAGCATAAGTGTGAATGAAAGACGCACTAGTGGCGCAACGGTTAGAATACTCGACTGGGAAGCCGGACAATAGGTACTCACTCATCAAGCGGAAATGCCCCTGTTAAGATACCCAAATACAGGGCGTAGAGGGAGTTTGAGAATCTAACTTGGAAGCCTCCAAAATGTTACCCCCTTAACCAAAACGAGCGTCGGAATGTAGGTAGGGGGGGGGGGGTATTAAAATGCCCGCCTTTGATAAGGATGATGACGCGACAGCATCAAATCTTAGATAACACAACTATCAAACCAAAATAAACTCAAATAATATGAAAAAAATACCTTCGGCATCATCACCAGATTCATCAACAGTGGTGGTCGGTTCCTTACTGCCATTGACACCATTAAGATAAGAGCCCTTAATGCGTGTAGTGAAGGATTTTGGAAGAGCATCGCGCCAAGAAGTAAAGTATCGAACAATATTATCATGCTGGAGACTGGCCAGTGTCCGAACTTCACGCAAAAGACCTTCCGCCTCGGACTTGCGAATATGTACACATTTGATGGCGTATTCTTGATTTTCCAGAATGCTTCGGGACTAAAATGAGGATAGTAGTTTTAACTTCATGCTATTGACTAGGGCCAACCGGAATTTCAGTAATATAAACTGAAGATAGACCTACTCTTAGTACAAAACCAAAACCTCCTTGACCAATGACCGAGAAACCATCGAAGTCAGTCAGTAATCGCGAACGGAAATGGCCGTCCTTTGAAGAAGCGGATAGCATATTAATATCTATTATGAAAAAAAATCAATAATAATTGGAAATAACCAAGGTTTAAATTTGAATGATTCAAAGACTGAAGCTCACCGGAACCATTGTCATGATTCTGCCCATTTCTAAGTTTAGGATCATGACAGATGGAGTCTGTAATGAATGGATGTTTTATCAGCTGTTTGGCTGACACTGCACAATCGTTGGAAAGACATTTGTTCAAGAAATCTTTGAATGCCGGAGCATAAACTAGAAGGCGGTTCACTGCTGAAGAGATGGCAACTTCGCCGTGAGAATATATATTTGCAGGAGGTGTTTTAGTTGCCAGGTAGAGCAGGATTTGACCCTGAAAATTTGCAAAATTGGACAATGTTAAGGAAGCTTACACAACCCTATGTACCTACAGAGACAAAAGATGAATGCTGAAAGCAACAAATCATTGACGAATTTATTAACCACTCACTAACTGTGCCAATAGAGGCATTTCTTAATGAATTAGAACTTACATTTTTTCAGAAAGGTGTACTGACGATGTGCAAGCAATATGTAATAACTAAATATAGGAGTGAGATTACCACCCAGAGTTCATCACCACTGGGTGTCCCTCAGTTATTTTCAACTATCAGGTGAATGTTCATTGGCATAAGGATAGAAAGATTACGAATATACATTGGATGCAAATATTTGAGTCCTCTATTCAAAATAAGAACTGCACCGATTGCAAAGTCAGCCAAATTGAAGCATATGATTTTGATACCAGAATCCCCAAATCCCGCATTCTTCTCCCTTCAGTAAAAGCCAATTCCAAAGCCGAACATCACTTCATCCAAGTCGTAGTTCGTTAGAATCCTTAAATGTTATGGGCTGGAAACAAATAAATTTTAATTCCCCCCCCGCGAACTAAGACATGAAGAATTATGAGATGTGTATAAAATAGGCTATTTAGGCAAAATTAGTAGACTTCCAATCCACTTGACTGATTTACCACATGATCCGGGTTGAAACATCGATTTGTTATAAGCTCTTAAGAACTAGAGAAAAACAACTTCGTGTGTTTAGCATGCCACGAGATCAGTAGATGTGCATCCAAGAATACTGACCTCCTGAACTCCTACCCCCCCCCCCCTCCCCTCTTCCTATTAGAAAGAAATGCACATTGATCGTCAATCTTTATTTGACCGGATCCTAAGTTTGCGAAATGACTGCAGCTTTTCTTAAAAATGCGCAAGAACTCCAACTTGATTTGCGCATATAAGTGCTAGCAAAACCTGACGAAATTGTGAGTCCCTCCTCTGAGGGAAACAAAATGTTTAATCAGCATTTTTTGTGAACTCCGATGGGTCAGCCACAAAGAGGAACATTAAGGCACGATGATAGCAAAAAAATTTATTGAAGTTCTCTTGGTCACTATTGAGATCAGAAGATCTTTTTAATGATAAATCCGCATGAGGACCTAAATCTCGAACATTATTTGGTCTAAAGAGGTTGTTGGTCAATTTGCCTAACCGGAAGATTAAAGACACAATTATATGCCTTCATAAAGTGTATTAATGTCTAGTTGGGAGATTAAATGTAGACGATTGGATAAAGGACATTCGAAAAGTGTCTAAACCAAATAAGAAATAAGCTAAAAAATCGTGGAATATTAGACAAACTGCAGAAACTTTCTTTCCGGCTTAAAACAGAAACAGAAATACGCACATTTGTCAAAAATAACCATCTAGATAGCCTTGAGAATAGATTTTGGGATGTTAATTGCATCATACATGCAACATTCAATTCTGTTCGTACACACACAATGAAATAGATTGATTAATCAATCTGTACTCTGGAAACTGTCGTATTGAGAGACGTAAGATTCAGAATCATCTTCAAAATAAGTTCAGTTAAATAGCAAGGAATCTAACAACAACCCACCAGCCGGCGAATATAATCTAACAGTGCTTCGCCATCTAAATCAGTGGCGCAAAGAAACTCGAAAAACAAGCGGTAGAATGAAAAGAGCCATGGGATAAATTATTAGACGTCCAATTAGTAAAAATTATACGGTTAAAAGTTCAACTCTGATACTCTTACGTTGCTTTCAGTATCTTTTTGAGCATTCCTCTTTATCCCCAGTGTAAATGACACAACATTCCTTTAATCCACCACCCCCCCCCCACCCCCTCCCTCCTTATGAGAGGAAATAAACCCACTTAAGGTGAGCCGGCGGAAGAACAACTAGCCTTAATATGGACCTACGATCAGGTGAGGACAGAAGACACCAATTTTCCATATAGTATTCATGGAAAGATGCTAAATAACATTAACCCTAACGGTTCAACGAACCAGCAGTCATTCAGCATGGTGTTTGACTCATTGAGAGTGCATACTTAGCTATAAGCGGTATAAAAGAGGATATTACCAAACTGAATAATGTAAATGTCCAAGAATTTGATGCCTCATTTATAGAGAACAGTTGGCCCTTTAGGAGTGTTGAAAAACAGCAATCAAGAAAGACGAATACTTGAATCAAAATGAAAAAAAGGAGTAACAAAGCGATGGGAAAGAAAAAAACTGGTGCAAAGAATCAGTTGGCGAAAACTTAAAAATCAAATAAGCACAATGGGCTTATGACCAAGGATAATTTCATTAGAAGGGTTCAGAGATTCTAACTGTGCGATGATCAGGCCATTCAAGTTATTTGAATGTGCATCGATATCGAATAGAGTCAGACGACCTTAAATCAGTAATGAAGTACGTATATACAGAAAGCCGAGAAGCGTGCTAAATAATTCAAACTAATATAACCTACTTCAAAAGACCCGCTTTTCCGCTTCAAAAAGCCGAGGTAAAAAAACAGGGCAATAATAGGCTTGCAAATTATTAGAAATAATTGTCAAACATAACCACATGCTTAATCTTATTTCAAAGAAGGTGAAAAAGCCACTAACCCCCACCCCCACCCCTTCCCCCAACTTAATTAATCGATTCAAATGGAAGGAAAATGTGGAATGATGTCATGCAGAGAATTGAACTCTAGCCAAATTCTATTTAACAGTAGACATATACCACAAACATTATTATCGCAGGGGCTAATCGGGGAGATCCAGAGGGACTAAAACCAAGTTCCCTGAAAATTTGCAAAATCGGACAGTGTTAAGGAAGCTTACACAACCCTATGTACCTACAGAGACAAAAGATGAATGCTGAAAGCAACGAATCATTGACGAGTTTATTAACCACTCACTAACTGTGCCGATAGAGGCATTTCTTAATGAAGTAGAACTTACATTTTTTTCAGAAAAGTGTACTGACTATGTGCGAGAGCAATATATAATAACTCTAAATATAGGAGTGAGATTACCACCCAGAGTACATCACCACTGGCAAGTTGAAAGCCTTGAACGCCGTAATCTATAGCGTAATCAAGTGATGCAGATAAGTTTAACATCTTAGGAATTTGCTATGGAACTAATCGTGTAGCTAGAAGACAAGCAAAATATTGCCCCAATTTGTGAAAAAAAATGTTGCGATCAGTCTAAAAAAGCACACATCGATAAGTGCATAAAATGTTTGTGGTACAGACCACAAAACTGTTGAAAAAACTTGCAATTGCAGTATATCTCATATATCAAACCCTGCGTCAATAAGGGAAAAGGTGACTAATGCTATAGGAGTGTTGCAATTTGACCTTTGACCGCATACTCCTTTTCCAGTAATCGCAAGCCTCGATTGTTTAAGGTCCACTCTCCCATTTAAACGGTGACTCATCCAAAAAGGAGGGAGGGGGGGGGGGGGGGGGGGGGGGAGGTACGTTAGAAATTTTAAACCCATGACCAGTCTGAAATAAACTTGATTTTACCACCATTTTCAATTACTGATTAACCATTGAAATTGAGAATGTAAATTCAAAACAAATTCGGAGATTTCGATTGAGTAATTAATAAAACGGCTGTATATATAAATAAGATGCCACAAAGCATACTATCTTTCCAATCCGGAATTCAAAGCCAATCGCCAATACACTGATTGTTCATTGTGAATTGGAAGAAAAAAAGACCCTTCCATGCACAGATCTCTCAATCTTGACGTGCTCAAGAGCAGGCAACGTTATCGAGGCGGTAGGAAGTCCAGAAACCAGTTCAGTGCAAAAATAATGAAACCTTTACAGAAGTGCATTCTTAATTCGACACCGAGTCCACAAAGGACTGCAAATGCGAACTTACGACCACATGCTTTGCAATTGCATTTCGAGTGCCCAAGAAACTACATGTGAATGCTTGTATAACGTTTGAATAACAATGATAAGACCTCGATTTTGGATGTTGTCATAATATTCGTCATAAAAAGAGAGAGAGTAACAATCAAACCATATAATGTAAAAGCGAGAAAACTGCGTCTGGCATACTTATGAACACCTTAAGAAGGAAAAGGCTTTCTGGTACACAAATTGGAGGTTTGGGAATTTAGTAAAACTTCGCACAGAGGAGAAAAATCCATATTGGAGAGGCTAGCAGTAAACAGACCTTCGAATGAACTGGTGGTCAGTTCACACACCCTACACCAATGAGTCATAATGTCGCGTGACTAGGAGACAAATTTCTGCAAATAAACAGTGTTTTTTTCTAAATATTGTATTAGCGTTCTTACGAGGCTGTAAAGATCCTTGCGATGGGTTCGGTTGACTCTACTGGGAGGAGCAGGAACGGTGATGGTGGAAGAGGACTTGTGAATCCAATTGTAATCGGCCAGATAAGCGTCCAGACGGGCATGGAATTCGTATTCCGCCACGGTGACTTTGCATTTGTCATCTATAAAGATATTTCCGGGCTGGAAAAGAGAAAAAGTCATGATAACTTGGCACTCAGGAACGCGATGACCAGCATAAAATCAATATGCAAATTCCTCTTCGTCATAAGTACTAGTTGATAAGAAGAGATTGAAATTTTACAGAGAAAGTAGACTAAAGCGTTAATTTTTTTCAGTTGCGGCAAATAAAATTGAAATCAAAGTCCTTTCGAAACTAAATTGTCTGTTACCCAAATTCGGATGTATTGGAGCTCGTATTACGTTGAAGCAAGTAAGAAATAAGTTTCTGAGATTGTCAGAGTTTAATAGAGCCATCTTCACTCTTTACCGAACACACTGGAATTTGGACATCAAGGTATTTAACAAATGAGAGGTGATCGAAAACGTGATGTCTCTTAAGTGTTTCACTAAAAAAGAACTAAAATGTAAACAACTTGTATAACCTTTGCCACACACCTTGGTATATTACGCTACGATCAACACTACTACTTGCAAATCATTGAGAACACCTCCACATTCATATGGAAATTAGAAGCAGGATATTGATTGTTCAACAAAAATGAGGAGTAGTATATTAGCGACAGGTCTTCATTCCATGAAGGAAATATGAATAAAACAGTAATTTGAAAAGCGAATATCCAACGCTGTTCAAAGAATTGCATGGAATTTGCTCAGGGGGTCATAGCTTTGATGATAATGTACTTGAGGAATGGTTTTCAAAGACGGTTTTAAACGAACTGCGTGTAATTGGTTTCTGTTCAAGCTAGAGGCCATCGACAAGTTATTCACTATTTGTATAAAGTAGACTCTTGTGAATTTTAAAGCCAATAGAATAGAGTTTCAATTGGTTTATACTAGCACAAAGATTTAACTCAAGAGTCAACCTGTAAATCACGGTGGTTCATGCTGTGATGATTGAGCCAGGCGAGTGCTTGGAGAACAGAGTGTGCAATCATTCGGATGCGTTCCATATCCTCAGCAGATGCCTCTGATGGTGTCTCCAGACTCGAAGGCGGAATTCCATCTGGTCGAGGTGGACGGATGAATGAGGAGATGGAGGTGCCTTTGGGAAGGTCGCTAACCACACGCATAATGCACCAGTGTCCAGAGTCCTCTGGGACATAAAATGAGAGAAAAAAATAGGATTTTCAGGCTCACAATTACATCAAATTTGGTATTGCCAACTGGATTGCAAGTGATCTATATTTGCAAAGTGGGGTGTGCGATGGACTTACCTCCACGTGGTGCACCATGGGCAACGTATACTCATACGGCAAAAAAAGTCTATTGACCGGCAGTTGACTTCTCACTTCAAACTATCATCACACCACTGTATGTCATATTCGACTGCTTCCCCAGTACTTACCTCACCTTTTTTCCACCATTGTGTCTGTCTCTTTTACATTTTTGAAACACTCTTCTGTCCCCCCCCCCGCCCTCTTGACTATTTTTTCACTTTGATGTTCCTTCCCTCTGTGAATCCTGAAGTCAACCAAAGGGCTAATGATGACCATCAAAAAGCCTGTCATTTGATATAATAATAATATTTGCAAAGTACATATAGCCATGATTCAATTGTTAGAATTTTTCCAAGACTCACGGATTCAAAGAAATGCATTCATTTTAAAAGGTTTCTAATAGAGTTCAAATATTAAAAAGTACTGGGTGAACGCGACAAAACACAGCCCAGTTAACTTTCGCATTTTCCAAATCTGTGCAGATGATAAAAGCATCACAAGCAGAGAATGTATTTAACTTAATACTCCTGATAGAAACCAGCATTACAAATCGGTTCGAGTATGTCAGCATAATGAGGATCGGTCTAAATGAGCAAACTCATTCACTAACATTTGTCTCAATCCCAAACAATTGTCAATCATTCGCCATCATTTATCTTCCATTTTATAACTTCCATGGACAGGTGGCCAATGTGAGACCCATGCTCTCAGAGTCGGGTCCCGTATGCTGAACTCTTGAAGGCACAGGAATCAGAGTGCATCTTGCCTTCATTTGTACCTAAAAAGATGCAATAGTCCACAATCGAATGCCATGCCACTTAAGCAAGAGGTGTTCTCACAGTCTCTCGACACGTAGTTTCCAACGCGCTACAAGTAGAACCAAGACGATGTAAAGGCCACCGTAATGCCCAAGCAGAATATAATGAAAATTATTGTGATAAACTAATTAAAATACACAACAGCAGAAAGCAACAACTATTTGCTCGAATAAATCTCGAGAGTACGTTGCGTAGATAAAAGTGTAGGGAGTTTGATGTGAGATATTTGCTGTGGTCTTTAAAAGTGCTGTCAACTGAATTCGAAATAGTTTTTACTGCCCCCACCCCCCTATTATCAGCACAACAAAATCAGCAAAATTTCAACTACCCGACATTAAAACAGATACGTTTAGCGATTTGAAGATTTTAAACCCAAGAGATGTAGAAAGAAACTGTTGAAGGTTCTAATTAGGATTGTTTGCGTAAATTTCCAGATGTTGAAGAGGTAGTAGCCGTGGCCAAGGCCATTCAGATCAAAGAGGACTTCAAACAAATCGTAGGTCAATAACGACTCCTCTTTTTTTGTTCTTATCAGTTGCGAGGTAGATTTGTTGCCAGATCTGAGCAACAAGGAACAACAATTGAACAAAAATTCAGTACCCGAGGAACGAGTTTCATTGCCTTAACATTATAAACCTCTGATGGGGCAGTGAAGAGATTTTATCACTTCGCACATCTGTGAGTTTTGAAGAGGATACCACCTTTTGAATGAACATTTTTAACGGAAGAAAAAATAATGAGACAAAGCAATAACAACTTGTCACCTATGATATGTTCAAGCACTACTAGAAATGGCTTCCCATGTTTCAATCTAGTAACTTTAATGATAATCGGCTTTCAGGGAGGCTGATGTGATCTGTCCGAGCAAAGCAATGACCGATGATAGTGAAATTATCCTTGAACAGGTATTAGGTAAAAAGTATGAAGAGATTTATGGACAGAATTTTGCCAGCTTAATGTTCTTAGCCATGTTAGGTCTAAACACACCACTACTGGCGAAATTTTTACACGATTGTGATTTGAAACAGTTCGATCCAGTTCTTTCGTAAGAGAAAGGGCAACAGACATATACGAAATAACTGAAAAGCAAGATATTCCACGAAGTAAACGCATAAATTGAAGAGATGGCTCAAGCGGTTGACTAAAATTCTCCGCTACATCGATCATTTGTTTCACTTCAAAAGTAGAACGTTAATTTAAAGTAATGCAGACCAAAGTTTGAGCTTTGAATGAAATGATTTGACCTCCTCTCAAGTTATATGCTGTCTGAGTAAAAAATAAACCAACCGGCTATCATAATGGCGACAGCTAGTTCATAACTAATAATAATAATGCATCGTCAATTTGGAATAAACCACTTAACCCATATTATGTCACACATTGATTGGATCATCAACTGCAGGGTCAACATTAAGTACTCTTGCCACTAAAGGGTTCAAACAATTTAGACAAATAGACAAATCAGGAATTAGAGACTATGAATTCGACATATAGCAAGTCAAAGTGATGATCTTCAGGATTGAAAAAAAGGTGAACAACAAAACACTTCTAGCTATAATGAGCACTAAATTCTACTTACCTGTCAGAGATGAACGTTGGCAATGTTGGAAGATCGTTTTCACCTTAACTATTAAGAGCTTTGGATATATTTCATTGCTTGAGATCCAAGATAAATCTTTTCCAATGGATTACAACTGGAGTTAGCGCCCAAGTAATTACTCCCAAATACCTGCTCCTAAGAGGAAACGTTAGTATAAAAATGACCCTTTCACTCGTTGTGATAATCAATTCGAGAGAAAATTATAGGATCAAGTTCTTATTAGCAATACATTTAGGATAAGTGGGTATACAGGACTTAAATTATACACTTATAGGACAATAAAAAGAGAGTTCAAGATTTTCACCGAATTCTAGTAGCCCTTGAGACAATCTAGGCCGATAAATTTAATTGGATTTTAATTTGAAGGCCATTGAGTGAGCAATAAGAAAGAGGATAGATATAGAACACGGAAATCTATACTTATATGTGGTTTCACAATAATGAGTTCCCACAAAAGAATTCCAATTCTCGGAAAAAAACGAAAAAATCGTACATCTGTAAAAATAACACCTACACAACCCTTTACCGCTTGCAGAATGGATTTGGAATAGTCGATTTCATAACTTAAATGGGTCTTTGCATGTCATGTGTTTAATTTTTTATCTTTATAGACCAGACAGCTCATGCATATCAGATGGCACCTTTATCCATAAACGCATTGCAAACATTATATAAAAGAACTATGAAAACAGTGGGACCTAGGTCATGAACTTTCAAGTGGGGAAGTAACAGTTTTCAGATTCAAGAGGGGGAGGGGGGTAGAACGCATAAAACCACTATTTAGCAGAAAGGAGTGGAAACAATTAAAAGTATAACTTGAACAGGAATATAGCCGATTTTGATGCTGTCTTAAGAGCGAAGGTATGATGAAAGGGCTTTCGCCCTGAGTGGGAACTTCTAAGCGTGCATGAACAAGCTCGAATAAACATATTATGAAGGAACGTGATGGCAACCAATGTTTGTTTTGAATGCCAGAAGCCATTATTTGGCCCCAACACAAACAATTCGGCGCTAGGACAGAAAATCAGAACGTCGAACAATCTTTAAGGAGCCAAATAATAAAATACTGGACTATATTTTCCGCCTGAGGAATCATCATGACAACACTGACACACGGTTTCGATAAGACGTCAGGAGTTATCGATCACCATCAAGGCGACCTTGACTAAGCACTGCAATCGGTTTACACATTGAATAACTTCAGATAACCCTTGAGTGAGAATTTGTCAATAATAAAAGGATACGATTTAAATGGCAGTCGATAAATACATAGAAGTCAGGGTTAAATAGATTTTATGAAATAAACACAAACAATAGTGAAAACAAGCTTTCTTTGCGTTTCTTAAAGATTTCCTTGGGAAAATTGAGGTGGTATGCATGACTGAAGCTAAGATGTTGCTCAGAGGATGGACTGTGATGCCCTCTTTTCATGAGATTATTCTACAAGTCCGTTCCAATTAGCCTTTCAGGAAAAGAAAGGTTATATCTGCAACCATGAATACTTATTAGACTAAGCAGCAGCAACTATATCATTTTCACAATTACTGAGATGTTAGTATTTGGCCAAAAGATGAATAGATATTGCAATGTTTTGAGCTCACTACTTCTATGGTAATTTAGACCTAGTAATATCAGTTCAAACCGGGTTCGCGATAGACTTGCCTCCACGTAGTGCACTTTGGACAATGCATACTCATATGGCAAAAGCAGTCTATAAACCGGCCGTTCACTTCTGACTTCAAACTACCATGATCCAACTGTGTCATATTCGACCACTTCCACATATTCATCCTACCCTACTCTCTACCTTTGTGTCCGTCTGTCCCTTTTACATCTGTGAATCACTCTTCTGTTCCTCTCAGTGAAGACCGAAGTCAGCTGAAAGATTATAATAAAGCCCACCATTTGATATAAATAAATAGTTGAAGCTTCCAAAAGAATCACCTTCACAAGGGTGATGAAATAAGGACGTGATGATAACAAGATCACATATTTGCGCGTTCTAACAGGAGTGCGACCACTACCTCAGATATAGATGATGAAACAGTTGCTTGAATCCTCGTCAGTTGAAAGCATCAAGGAAGGAAATCACACAAAAATAGCTAGCAGGGATAAAAAAGAAGACGCCTCCTTAAACAAAAATAACACTAGTGTCTGATGATATATCCCCATAATAAAACCAAACTCCTTTTACTTGAGGAAATAAATAGACCAAATACTTGGACGAGCTTACCCTATCGAATCATGCACTTTTTTTCTCAGAAAAATGAGGATTTTAAATTCTAAAAAAAGATGATAAGGTTTTATTAGCATAGTCGGTAGGAGAGAAAATTCAGTTAGAAGAATTTGTGAGAAAGTAGGCCGGTTAACGAAGCAAAATTCGCTTTCAATCATGTCTAGAAAAACCAGATACGTGAACAAAAAATGCACACAGGAAAATACTCGTTTTTGAAAGAACAGTGATGGTGTTGCATCGATATTTATGTACGCAGATTTTTCCACTACTTGAGCCATAAATCAAACCAAGTCTAACTAAAACCAAATCAGCGCTTTTAGATAAAATGAATATAAAGTTACTGAAATAAGGCCAGTTTGGAAGAAATTCTCTAATATTGAGAATGTGAACCATTAAATTATTTATTTATATCAAATGGCAGGCGTTTTGAAAGTTATCATTAGCCCTGGAGCTGACTTCGGGGCTTCACAGAGAGGAGAAGGAACATCAAAGTGGCAAAAAGTCGAGATGGGAACTAATGAATAAGATTGGAAGATAGCATAATAAAGTTACAATGTTATTTGTCGCACATGTACAGACGGTGGTGTAGGTGACTAACTCACATAAATGGTTAAATCTGATCATAATAAGAACGGATCCAAAATCGCTTCTCTCTGCCCACATCAATTGTCTGAAACTTTCATCAAGTATAAAAACGGTCCCTGCTGACATACTCTTATATAGACGATGAGGATAGAAGAACAATGCATACCAATGTTAAATAATTAGGAACTTTTTTTCAGTTGCCGATAAAGTAAGCCACAACATTTAGCCACCCTTTAAAGAAAAGACTTTGGAAGTAAAGTAAATAAATATTAAAAGCCAATTAAATCAATCAAACCAGTAAAACGTAAAAGGGTTCGTTAGAAGCCAACTGAAAAGTAAGCCTCTTAGTTATTAGAATTATGAAAGCAGGCAATTATTGATCGAAATGAAAATAAAATCCCAAGGTGGAGCGAAAATCAATTTATTTACTCGTGGAATAACTCCGAGAAATAATTATCCTCATTAAATACTGGTTCTCATGTACATAATCATCAGAAAAAAAGCAAGCTATTTTCTAAAAGTACAAGTGTGATTGACTTAAGAAACGGCGTGAATCGATTTCATTTCGAATTTGCTAATAATTGCATCTAAACTCGCAGTCCCACTCCTAATTTGAGTCATTTCCATTCAACAATCAAACCCAACAATCAACATTAACGGAAGTGGAATGTGAGCATCTTCATTAGATGATCGCTTTTTGATTCAGACACACAATATATCCCAGAAAAAAATCGCTACTAATATAAAAATCAGGTCATGACATACCGTCCTCAGTAGTTAGTTCATCCAGGCTGAAAGCTCGAACAGGCACCAGAGTGGAATCCAGATCGAGCTTGGAGAGATGTTTCAATTGAGAGACGATGCCATTGCGCAATTCCTCCATGGAGAGTTTTGAGGAGAGAGGAAGAACCCATTCATAGACCACCAATTCATCGCCCTTCTCCTCACTAAAGGCCGCGAATTTCGCTCGATGTGGAAATTCGGCTCCACGTACTTGAGGTTGGCTAAAACAGCGATTGACAAAAAATTTGCTAAGTCACTAAGGTGCCATTAGTAGTCAAAATGTGAATCAGAGAATAAGTAGACTTAAGATTGATTATGAGATAACGCCAGTAGATTAATGGGCTACTTAATGGTAAAAAGATAAATAATCAAAAGATGCACAGTTCATATTTTGTGATTTCGCAAAGAGGAGCTCGCCGAAATCATGTGAAGGTGGTAATGACTATCCAATCAAATCTGAAAACGAGGAAATCTCACGAATTTTAAGTAATAACAGCAGCAAACGATATAAAATGATTGGTCACATCACAAGACATTTAATGATTAATACCTGGGGTGTGCGATGGACTTACCTTCATGTGGTGCGACCTGGGGAAAGTATACTCATACAACAAAAAGGTCTATTAACTGGCAGTTGACCTCTGACTTCAAACTACCATGACCCCACTGTATGTCATATTCGACCCCTTCCACAGTACTCATCTAGCATTTTCTCTGCCTTTGTGTCTATCTGTCTCTTTTACATCTGTGAATCGCTCTTCTTTTCCCCTGTCGAATTTTTCTCACTTTAATGTTCTTCCCTTCTGTGAAGCCTAAAGTCAACTAAAGGGCTAATGATAACTCCCAAATTGCCTGCCATTTGAAATAAATAAATAAATTATTAACGCCTAGCATGAAATATCAATGAGAGTACCATTTCTTAGA